ATATATATATATATATATATATATATATATATATATATTCAGGAATTAGATTCAAACTGATAAAGATGTTACCTTAACTGCCTTTTACAATATTAAAAGAGTACTATTGGTCGGGTAAACAAACTGTTATAGTTTAAAAAATTTTTTAACTTGTTCTCTATGAATGTGTTAATAAATACAGTATTTAACTTATATTAAATCCATAAATTATTTGTAAAAAAGTTAAATATTTAAATTGCTAGCAAGCATCAAATTAATTTCTTCGTGTATTTTTTTAGACATCTAAATTACTATCTATTAAAATCTATTTTTTACATAAATTGCTAAAACTTACCAACCATCCCCTAAATATCTAAAACCCTTTTACAGCCTCTTTCTCTTTACTTCCCTCTCCCTCTTCTCTCTTTTTCCTTTTTCTTTTCTCTCTTTTCCCCTCCCATTTCAATATATCACTTCCGTTAAGTTAACCGTCTAAATAGGTCATGGTCTGGTCACTCCTCCTCCCCCAATGCTAAGTATGATTGAAAGAAATATTAAATTAAACCTTCTCTAAACTCTACCATTTCTCTCTAACCTCTCTTTATTACACTCTCTGTCAAATTACAAAAACTTACACTACCCATCAATTTTCATTTCATTTTTTGTTTCATTTTTTGGAAGTGCTATCTAATGATCCGGCGTCCTTTAAAAGGGCTCTGGTGAAATAAATTATTATAATGGAAGTTTGATTTTTAAGTGACAATGTCTATTTCTTTCCAATTTTCGGATAAGTTGTTGAGTATTGTCTTCGAAGTTTTTTGATACACTCTCCAAAGTTCATATTTTGTTACTTCTGTTTAAGTACTGTCGATTTTCGCAGTTATTATCAAGAACAAATATGGTGTTTGTGTGGCAATTAGAATTCCTATGTCTGCATTATGGTATTCTGTGGGAACTGGACGTTTGAAATGGTCTAGGGTGATGTCGCGTGTAAAGACTATTGGAAAGGAAACAAGTCCGCACAAAAAAAGATTGCAATTTTTTTTATTTATTAATTTAATTTTAATTTTATTTTATTAATTATTTTTGCATTATTATATTAAAATATGTGCAAACGTTAATTTTAAAATGTGAAAAAAAAAGTTTTCGTGTGACACTTTTTATCCTTTTGGACTAAATATATATTTACATCAATGCGTCTCCACATGTGCATGAAAGAAAGGAGAACGCTGAGAATTTTAAATTATGTATTTTTTTCTTATAATTTAATATATATCTTAACCTAGCCTGTTTCATTTATGCAACTGTATGTGTGTTTTGATTCTTCTGCTATTATACTTTAAATAGTTTTTATATGTACGTTTATATGTGTGTGGTAAATACAGGGGTTGGACAAAATAATTGGAAGACTTGTTAAATTCAAAGAAAATTTATTTAATATGGAGTTGGTCCTCCTTTAGCCTCACAGAAAGCTTTAATACGTCTAGGAATGGAATCATACAGCTTCCTGACTGAATCCAGAGGAATTTTCAGTCATTCTTCCATTAAAACCTCCCCAGCTCTTTACGACACGGCGGTGGAGGATAGCGGCTCCTAACTTGTTGCTCCAAAATGCACCACAAATGTTCAATAATATTGATATCTTGAGATTGGGGAGGCCACTCCATGTATTCTAGCTCACTTTCATGATCTTCATACCAATTCTTAAACATTCGAACGGTATGTATTGGAGCATTATCGTCTTGGAGGATGCAGTCACCATTAGGGAATAAAGTCTTGGCCATTGGATGAACATGATCTCCCAAAATGTTCAGGTAATCTTTGCTGTTGATTCTACCATGCAGGGCAACTATTGGACCGAGACATTTCTATGGTATGGCGGCCCAAACTATCACTGATCCACCTCCATGCTTCACTGTTGGAAGAAGGCAGTGAACAGTTTTAGTAGAAACTGAACTATTCAGATGATTATTCATCTCAGCAGTTTGGCCGCATTTGTCCGATGATTTTTTGCCACATTGCCTTTCAATGCACGTCAGTCCCTGTCAGTAAGTTTTCAAGTCCAGCCCGAATATCTACGGTTGCTAGAGGTCTTGCCCTGTTTCTCGAATTGAATCAGTGTTCTTGATATAGTAGCTCTTGAAAAACCAAACAGTTCAGCAACCTTAGCGATCGAGGTTGCTGCCATGCGAGCTCCAACAATTTCCTCTTTTTCGAACTCGGCGAAGCCACGCATTTAGCTTAAATTTTACTAAATTCTAAAAATACAAAGACAGTAAATTAGATAGGTAAACGTATTTACAATAGATATAACCTGAAATTAGGAATTTTTAGTTAAAGTTCTTAATATAATAGGTCTTTGAAATATAGGAGTGGATTTTGCAACTGTTCCAATTATTTTGTCCAACCCCTGTATATAAGATAATTTGGAGAAATTCGACTTGAAAATGTTTCGCCGATGATCCGGCGTCATCAGATAAAGAATTTTATTTCACCAGAACAAAATATGTATTTAGGAAGACGAAACGGGATTTACGTTAAGCATATTAAGGTTTAATTTTAAAATCTACCGTGATAGAAATTAAATTTTAAAAAATTCATATCAGTTTTTATTTATCTATTCACGGTTTACGAATCTCACACTGTTTTGGTACAGACGTTTAAAACAAATCTATTTTTGTTTTGCTAACGTAGACTTTGTTCTTGCGAAATCATTTTTTTCCTGATGACGCCAGTTCGTCAGAGAAACATGTCAAAACAACAAAAAAGAGAAAAAAGAATAAATTTCGAATTATTCTTGCAATTTACAAAGCGTAGCTTAGATGTCGGATTAGGTTGACAGTAAGGGACAGCAATAGATGACAGAACTCTATACTCAGTTATAATTGATCTATCTATACTAAGAATTACACCATCTCGAAGTACTCAAATATTGTATCTACTTGACAGAGACACCCCCCACCAATAAATAAATAAATAAATAAAAAAAAACGTTGAAACAAACGATTTCAGAACAGGTTATGTTATGATCAAACTACTTCATTCAACCATATATATATTGGCAGTTGTGATATCAATTCCTGGGTCTGATATTCTTGTAAAATCCTGGTTTCGAGGAAAAAAACAGGGAATGAGACAAATGTGGACAAATCGCGTGAGCAATGACTGATAAGAAATATCCCCTAAGCATTGAGACAAGAAGAGTTTATCATTGCAAACTGAATAAAGAATTCCATTCGCAATTCCAAGATATTGAGTACACCGACGGACACAAATAATGGAAGCTAGAGAGTTCAACTTCTAAAATGATGGGCGTATAACATCCAAGACTAGCATCCTGGTGAGAATAGCAAATCATATAATGTTGATTATCTTCTTTTAATTGTGTGCTGTGGCTCCTCAGGTCAGAGACGATAATGGCTCTCTACAACTTCCTATCCATTGTATTTCTTAATAAACATTGTCTTTCTCTTATTTCTCTTAAGTTTTATTGCGACATCTCTTTACTCAAGCTCACTAAGTATGTTCTGCCTTGTTTTCCGTTGTCCCTCTTGCCCTGTCCTGTGAGTATCAGATTTTCCAAGCCCTCCTTCCTTATTATGTGCTCAAAATCCTCAACTGTCTCTTCTTGATGTTTAAAATTATTTTCCTTTTTGTTTCCATTTTCTCCAAAACTTTGTCTTGTTCACGGGATTTGTCCACGCATCCTCATCATCCTGCCGTATAACCGCATTTATATTGCGTTAAGACTTTTCTTCATCTTTGAGGAGATTGCCCAGCACTTACTGCCATACAAGAGGACAGATATCACGTCGTAGTTTAGTACTCTTTTCCTTGTTTATAGCGATTTTTTTTCTATTTCTTAGAACTCTGCTTATCTTTTGGAATGCTTCCTTGGCTATCCCAATACGTCTTCGAATTTCAGTGTCACACTTTCCTTCCCCTGTTAAAACACCCCCAGATATTTAAACTTACTCACTTGTTCGATTTGCGTGTCTCAGATTTGAAAATCTCCCTTTGGACTCATCCTTTGGTTAACAATTATAGATTCTGTTTTCTTGCAGTTGAGTTTTCATCCTTTATTCTCGCTTTCCTTCACTGCCTCCTTTTGGAGATTTTGTAGCCTTCTTTCTTTGTAGACTATCAACACTATGTCATCAGCATACCTTGTGTTGTGGACGCCAATAATGAATCTTGGTAGGACTTTTAGTTCTCTCGGAATCTTCTCGCTGTATAAGTTGAATAAGTTCGGTGTGAAGATACATCCTTGTCTTACGTCCCTTTTCATTTTTGTATATCTGCGGAACTTTTTTTTTTTTTAAATCCGATAAAAACAAGTTAAAGCTACAAAAACGGCGGTGGAAAGAAAAAAGGGTTAATTTGCAGTGCAACACCCGCATTCATTTCGCATTAAAAATTTCCAGAATTCTCACATTTATGTGTAATTCTACATGCTTCAGTCGAATCTGGCCTGATAAATTTGAAAAAAATCTACCGTTTTGGAGATATCGACAGTGAAAATTTGGATTCATTCGCGTCACGGGCAGCCATTACGGGCGTTGTTTGTATACATTCGCTGCAGAATAGCTATCAGTATAGGTATCATTGCGCAAACTGAGCGTGTCTCCGTAAATAGTTATCGTGCGCAGTAATTGCCACAAATTTAGACAAGAAAGATCAGTCTCGAGCTTAGCTTTCCGTAGTCTTCCGCGTTTAGCTTTCCGCAGCGAAAGTATGCAAACAACGCGAATAATGGCGGCCGACAACGACGCGATTGAATCCCAAATTTCACTGTCGATAATTCCAAAACGGTAGATTTTATGAAATTTATCAAACCAGATTCGAATGGAGCATGTACAATTACACATAAATGTAAGTATTTTGGAAATTTTTAATGCGAAATGCGTCCAGGTGTTACACTGCAAATTAAACGAAATAAGTTAAAGAATACTTAAAATAATAAATTCACTTAAATATTTATAAAGTGAATGCGAGGCACAGAAAATGAATATGGCGTCAAATTAACTAGAATAAGAAAGAAGCGAACGAGTGCAGACGAAAAGAAAAGAAAAATATTCAGATATAAAGACAGAGAAAGAAAGAAAGAATTTTATATATAAGAAAGACAGAAAGAAAAAGTAAAGTGCAAGTAGACATGAGAGACAATACAAAAGGAAGACTACAATGAAAAGGAAAAACCGAAAGTAATAAAAAAATAGCACCAATGAAATGAAAGGAAGTCTAAAATGTGACTCACGTATCAAGGTAAGGGAACTTACAACTTCACCAAAGATGCATCCCGTCAACACAAAAAGTACAGAAAAAAAAAAGACGAATGGATTTACCATTTTGGCATAAAACAGCTGTCTGAGAGTGAAGAAGTGAAAGACAAGATGAACTGACTAATTGGTTCACAAAATAACCTTGGTACCACCCTGAATTTAATGAATACGACTGGGGATAATAGCTGTACTTTATAAAATACTTCGATATCATTACCTGGCTTTGTTAAAAAGAAGAACTATCTTTCTTGAATCTACAGATAACCCAATAGGATAAAACATTTTGATAAAGCCGTTTGCTTTCTCAAAAAGTTTTATTACGCGTAGCTGAGATGTAGCACAAGGCCGAAAGTGTGGAGCACCCAGTGAGGATCGAACTCACTACTGAGTGGTAATCAATCTAGCGAGACAACCTTGCTAACCATTACGCAGCATCAAAGTGTCCTAAAATGATTTCTAAGCGTAGCTCGGATGTAGCACAAGGCCGAAAGTGTGGAGCACCCAGTGAGGATCGAACTCACTACTGAGTCGTAATTGATCTGGTAAGACAACCTTGCTAGCCACTGCACCACATCGAAGTGCCCTAAAATGATTTTCTAAGCGTGGAACTACTTGGGAAGTGGGGAGCATGGAAGTGTGCGAATGGAACTCACTACTCTGTCGTAATTGATCTAGACCATTGACTAAGCGTTGCTTAGTTGTGACACATGGCCGAAAGTACGGAGTACCCAGTCACGAATTTACAACTCAGTGGTAATTTATTAAGCGTAGCTTAGTTGTGGCGCTTGATCGAAATTATGAAACACACTGTGAGGATAGAACTCAGTCTTAATTGATCTAGCAATACAATCTTGCTAACCATTAGACCACGTCGAGGTTTACTGATCGGAGAATCAATGATGTATATCCTCACGCAACCTCGGACGGAATATAATGATAGCACAAATTTTCTGAAGATGACCTTCCAATCTAGGCCCTCTCTATACATTTTCATCATATTGTGTTGTCTTTTCCTTTGATCAGGGTAGCATTTTCATGTCAAAATTGTGGTTAGTCAATTTACCGTGGGGTTGCCAAAGCATTTGATGTATTATTTTGTAAAATATCCCTTTTGTGTTCATAATTTTGTTTATTTAGTTTCCTTGAGGTTTCTCCTATGTATGTCTTGTGTCAATTATGACGACGATGGAGTAAACTTCTGCTTCAGATTTTAGCGTATTATTTTGTTTAGTATTGACTAAATCTTTTATTGTTTTGTGTGTAGTATTAACAACTTTTATGTTAAGTTTAGATAGATTATTTTCGATTGTAGATGTGATACGATTAGTAGGTAGGCTGATATATTTTTGATTCATTGGGTTACTAAGTAGGGGTCGCTTTTTTTGTATTGGTATTTTTGTGGGTCTTTTGTTTCGCATTGAATATAAAATAATGAAGTTACTGGAGACGTTTGAAAGTGTTTTCAATGTATTTATCCTCTTCGTGTAAACAATCCGAGCTGTATATTCTTAGGACTCTTAGGGAGAATCCGATGATTATGACGGATTTTATATTGTTTTTTTTTTTATGATGGAAATAGAGATTATTAGGTTGGTTTATCGGCCGATTTCAGTAGAAATATATATATATATATATATATATATATATATATATATATATATATATATATATATATATGAAGAAATATAGTCTTAAGAAATGTGCTATATTTATGGGATAAAGTTCTCATTATCAGAGATAGAGTGTGTGTAAATATAAAAGTGAACATAGAAGTCAACACTTAGAGGCGACAGTCTGTTTCGTGCTAGATGCAATCGTCAGGCAACGAGTGCTGTTATTTTTCTCGGCTATAAATAAATAGCCGAGAAAAATAAAAGTACTTGAATAGAAACAATGCAGAATATATTTAAAAAAACACTTTCTCAATGTTGAATACAAACGGATTGGTATAGACAAACTTATGAAAAGGGTTAGACAGATAGATAGATAGATAGATAGATAGATAGATAGATAGATAGATATGAACAGACTGATATAGATAGATGGATAGATATATAGATAGAAGGTTATGAACAGAATGAGATAGATAGATAGATAGATAGATAGATAGATAAACAGATAGATTAGATATGAACAGACTGAGATAGATAGATAGATAGATAGATAGATAGATAGATAGATAGATATGAACAGAATGAGATAGATAGATAGATAGATAGATAGATAGATAGATAGATAGAAGTTCACTTGGTATCGTAGATCTAAAGTGTTCCGACAAAACATTACATGTCTATCATTTCGTTAAAAATATTTGTTAAAATCGGCCATTTATCTGGGTAGGGTACAAACACCTTGAATAGAAGAACGACATCTCTGTGCAGGAATCATATTTGATTTGAAAGTCGAACGCAAGAATGTCTTTTAAGGCAATATGCTGCCTCAACATTTAACATTCTAAGAGTAAATCGCAACTGAGCCCAACCAGCGGTACCGAGCATCAAAGGCAAAGTCAATACTGGAATTTCCTCGAAAGAACGCCGAAGTAGGTATTCCGATTGTTTAAGTGGCGTGGTGGCAGTAACAGTAAGTGATATAATTTCGAATAAACTTTAGAAGACACTTTGAAGAGATAAATTATTTGAAGAATCTACAAAGCCTACAAAGAACCGGAAATTATCACCGACTGTGTGTTTTCCTTTTCCGCTGTGATGCGTCCGTCAGGTGAATTCAGATTACATTCGTATTTTAGCAGACGAGAAAGATTTCTAGTCAGCAATCCCCAGTGATATTCATTTACAGTGGAAGAAAAAGAAAATATCTGCGGTTGTCTGCAGTATCTACTCTTTTTATTTGAAATATGCTTTTTTTGAATTTCCTCTATCTATATAACTATTACATAGGTAAATCATTAAATCCGTAGCGTCTCGGCGCGTCTCCATTACTGTAAGCCATTAGGATCGTACAGGCACCAATTCTACGCCTACCATACCAGCAGTGGTCTTTCCAGGGTAAGATATCAAGATACTGGTGACGAAAGTATTTTTTCATTGGGTAAATACTGACTTTCAAACATGATCTCATTTTTTTTTTGCCAATGCACTTAATTTCTTTGTGAATATTAATCTGCCGAATCAAATATCACACTTATTCTGTTCACATCTATCTATCTATCTATCTATCTATCTATCTATCTATCTATCTATCTATCTATCTGTTCATATCTATCTATTTTATTCTGTTCGTGTCTATCTAATTCTGTTAATACTATCAGATAGATAGATAGATAGATACATATGAAAAGAATGAGATAAATAGAAAAAAAAATGAGATAGATAGATAGAAAAAGAATGAGATAGACAGATAGATAGATAGATAGATAGATAGATATGAAAAGAGTGACATACACAGTATGAACAGAATTAGACAGATAGGTATGAACAGAATAAGATAGATATGTCACCCAGAAATTCATATACATGGCACAGTGGATAAAGGTGTTAGTTAGATCCAGTGAAAGGAACCAAACAGTGTGAGTTCAATACCTGGTTAAGGCGGTGGAGAAATTTGAGAGGGAAATTAACAGGAGATAACTGACATCCATTAGACATGGCACGTGGGACTTGAACACTCTACCCCAGTGAGCGAAATAAAGGGTTCAGTTCGACATTCCAACCACTTGAAGAAGACCGGAGCGTACAACGGCCGAAACGTTGTGAATAACATGGCGACAAAGATGAGGACAATAGTCCGAATAATATAAATAGAGTTCGATTAAGTCATTCACTGTCAGACAGGGCTTAGTAAACACATCTAACAGCTAGTTGTTTCACGTCAGTAAAAAAACGAAAAAACAAACAAAAACAAAACAGGTGTTCTGAATCGAATTTAAGATCAGTAAGGAGCTTGCTCCTTTTTTTTAAGCGTATCATCCCCAATCAAGGCGGGAAGCCATTAGCACGCAGGGGGTTACAGAGACTTGGAGCGAGAGCAAATAGGAGTGACAGAGGAAAGGATGAAGAGAAGGATAGGGGATAGATCAAGGCATCTGGAGACGTCGACTGACATTACATTTGAATAGTTGGTGATTATAGCTATCAGGGAAACAGGAAAAGGAGAGGGAGTTCCACAGGCGAGAGGTGCGAGTAGAAGAGACGGCTACATATAACACTGTCGACAGTGAAAGGGTGTGAGCGAGATGTTAGCCTAGTAGAACGCTTAAATTCAGCTCATCGGAGCAGTTACCATGAAAGTATTTGTAAAAAAGACAGAGGGAGGCGATGGCACGGCTGTGAGAGAGCGACTGCAGGCGGGATGCCAGATCAGGGCCAGTTACATTGCATATCCGTCTCTGGATCTTATCAAGAACCTTGAGACAAACAGAAGGGGCTCCAAGCCGTATATAGCAGCAATAATCCATGCAAAGGCGAATGGTTGATTTGTAGATTTGAAGGATCGACTCCGGCGAGAAAAATTTCCTGGCGCGGCACAGGGAGCCAACTTTCCTTGTGGTGGACGAATCTATTGACTCAATGTATTTGTTCCATCTCAGGTTAGCAGTTAACGTGAGACCGAGTAATCGCAAAGATGTGCTCTCGAGAAGTTGAGCGTCAGACATTCTAAGGGGGAGCCGGGATGGTTCTCTGTGAGGAGTAATAGAGAGCACAGTATTTACATTAGTCGGACTATTGTCCTCATCTTTGTCGCCATATTTGTCACAACGTTTCGGCCGTTGTTCGCTCCGGCCTTCTTCAGGCGGTTGGAATTTCGAACTGAACCCTTTATTTCGATCACTGGGGTAGACTGTTCTAGTTCCACGTGCCATGTTTGATGGATGTCAGTTATCAGTTATCTCCTGCTAATTTTCCTTCTGAAAGTTCTCCACTGCCTTAACCAGGTATTGAACTTACCTTCTTTGAGTCTGTCCCTGGATCTAACCAACGCCTTTATCCACTGTGCCATGTGTCCTTGAGGAGCGTACAACGGCCGAAACGTTGTGACAAATATGGCGACAAAGATGAGGACAATAGTCCGGCTAATGTAAATACTGTACATAATACCTCATCTCAGAAATATAGACAGACTCTAATAGAGAGCAGTTTTGTTTTTGAGGCGTTAAAGTTAACCAGCCAATTCCTGCCCCAGTTCACAACCGATTGGCGGTTCTTTTCGAGACGAACGAGCAGGTTAGTTTTGTCAAAGACACTAGATTTGTTTTTGCGGCAGGATTAAATTGTAGTGTCGTTCGCGTAGATGCTTACTTGTGAATCTATGACGTCAGCGCATTATATTAGATGACCACGCAAATCATCTAGACTTCACTTTCAGCATTGTCATGACTACTAACATATCCGCCCTCATCGTCACCTCGCTGGGTTTCTTCGGATCATTCTCTGGTCTATGTCAAGATTGATGTCAAGCCAAAAACCATAAGCATGCTATGATATCCCATCTCATTGGGCAATCGTTCGAGACACTCTTAGAATATCCTTCTTTCTCAACATTTTCAAAAAAAAAAAAAAATGGGCATCCAGAATAGTCCCTGTTAGATATGGTGGAAATGTATAATCCCTTGCACCATGTTTCAGCAAAGTCCAGTCTTGGTCCACGCCTACTATCATAGTACACCTTAACCATTACCACGATATTTATCACAAGGAACAGTGTTGCAGAACTCTTGCTGCATTCCCAACTGCTTGCAGTCTTTACAGAAAAAAATTTCTGGCAAATGCAAAGATCAGTTGGGCGTAGTTAGTTCAAGCCAAAGTCGAAAACAAAAGACTTTGTTCCCAAGAGTTCTGGATAATCACTAACAAGATTCTTAATAGATTCAAACATTGAGTACTTACTATTAGAAATAGATTCGAGAATATCTCATCTTCATTGGAGAAGGCTAAGAACTCCATATCATGATTAATGTCATACCCTACACGATTTCCCTCTTCTAACAGAGCACAAGTTTTTTGACCTCATTCTCTAAGCTCGTGAAATTTACAAAATCAGCAAAACCCTTAACTCTACGAAGACTATTGGTTTCTCTGGAGGTAGGTTCAAGAAATTTCTTTGTCAATAGCCAGCCTTTTAATACCTATATGATCCATTTCTGGCGTCCCCGAAGTCTCTATATCTTCGGTCCTATCTCCTTTTTGTTTTTTTGTTTTTTTAGTAACGACTAGCAGTAGAGCCCGGCGTTGCCCGGGAATATAACAGTAAGAGATAGATCAAGTATCCACCATCATAAAGACTGAAAAATAAAATTGACAAAGATTATTGTTTAAGGTTGACGGACACGCATGTCTTAATTAGATTTTTTTTTTTACGAATTGGTCAAACCCAAACTCAAACAAAATCATTGTTCTCAATCATTATGAGTCTACCGATTGAATAGAATTTTATTATAAACAATTGTCTTGTTAATGGAATTTTTAAAGCATTCTAAATATTAAAAATAAAGAAAAAAGTGTGCAAGAGAATAAGAAACACTACCTGCCAAAAAAAAGTGAAGTTTTGTTTTATCGGCTGAAAAATGTAGGAAATCCGATCCCATATATAAAGGAACACACAAACACACAAACAACCTGTGTTTTTAACCCGATGTGAGTTGTCCCCCTTTCATTCTCACGATATCTTTTAATCGTGTTTTCAAATTGATTTTGTGCAAAAACAATTGTATTTTTCCAATTTTTGGTGCTGTTAGAAACAACCACTACTAATTTTATGTAGTCCTGTGAAGTTTTGTTGAAATCGGTTGAAAAATGTAGGAAATCCGATCCAATATATAAACGTTACACACACACACACACACACACACACACACACACACACACACACACACACAATCTGCATTTTATAATAAGTAAGATCTGTCCAGGCTAATTCTCAGATCATGAGTAAACATATATGTTGATAAAAACATAATTTACGAAAGTACCTTCAAAAAATCAAGATGGTAGCCGATCTGTCCGATTGATCTATTTTAACAACTCAGTGGAAAAAATATTTTTAAATATCAATAACTCTGAAACCAAGTTAATAATATTTCATCATCACTGATCCGACCCTGAGCTTTCTCTCGCCACAGTGAACAATTACAATCACAACGAAGATCCATTCTTAGAACGTTTTTTGGAATGCAAGTTCGCTCCAGACCTCAAATGGAATTCATATACAACAAGATTGATATTTAAAGATGATTGAAAACTGTTGGTTCCTTGCCTGCACACCCAGATAGTAACTAACTCTTCTTGCTATGCGCTATCTTCACAAGAGTCGGATCAGACTAAAAATGGGGTATTGTTGCGATGTCTCTCCTGGAGGCGTCCTGGGTATGACGATAAACTACATCCGCGTCTTGAGTAAGACTATAAACTACGTCTAACAGCAAGGCCTCTGATCAGGAGGTTTTGAGGAGCGTGGAACCACCTCTTAATTGCTGTTGTTCCCAGGTCCACCCTGACTCGGCGTAGTAGCACCTGTTAGGGTCCCAGCTATGGGCAAATAGTTAACACCCAAAATTGTGTAAAGATAGGTTTTAATACCAGAAATACTTTGTAATAAAAAATTATTACCAGCCATAATTTTTAAAGGATAAATTATTATCAGCAATCTTTTAAAAAAAATACCAGCAATACAAACAGTTATACATTCTTTGAAAAAAAATATGACCAGCTATAGATTTCTTCAATGAGGAATATTCCCAGAAATAGATTTTTGAAGAAAAACATATTATCAGCAATAAAAATTTTGTTGGCATTAAATAACCTATTGAGGTTGATATACCGTAAAATAAAAACAAACACTATCCTGGTGTTACCTAAACATCCCTTTTCAGCTTTGATATCTCAAGACAATTTTAGAAAACATTAGAAACTCGAGGAAGGCCGAATGATATGCTACCAAAGTGTGGTAAACTAAAACAACAAAGAACAAAAAAATAATATAAAGTGATTAATATAAAATGACTTTTAGTTTTGATTTAGTAAGAAAGACGTTTAAATAATGAAAATAAGATTGTGTTACGCCATTCTGAAATTGCGGATGAAGTTGCTGCCGGGAAAATCCATATTCGAAATCTTAGCATTTAACTGGTCACTTTTTGGCAAAAAGACCCCAGTATTTTAGTAATGGTGGATTTATTTAATAGACTGCTAAAGAAAGTCACACAAATAAAATAGAATGAAGAAAATAAGTTAAAAAGAACAAATCGAAAAGATAGATGAAAAAGATGTAAAAATGTATATCAGCAATGGCGAGTTGTAAAACAAAGTAACACACAAACAGTAAGAAAAGCAGTGAAAAGTGAGGGAGAAGTCAAAAACTCAAATCAGTTACCAAGTTAAGAAAACTGCTTTTTTTTTTTTTTACCCAGGATCGGACAGTGACCTTTGACACAGATGAGTAATTCACTGAGGTCACCAATCCTCTGGGCTATTTATTTTCGACGTCATGTCTCTTCAGGACGCAAGCAATCATGTC